TGTTTCAAAACAAAACGGTAGACTTACAAACGCATTAGCCGTGCACCGTTTCACTGAACCCGGGCGGATCCTTTCCCGCCCTGTAGCTGTCTGCTAATAACCATTTTCATTTTCCGAGGGAGACGAGCTCGAACTGCTCTCCAAGTCACGATGTCAAGTAGATTGGAATTCCGCGGCTGCCTGGCAACGAGCGTGGAGGTGAAATTGAGCCTTTAGGTGGCCGTGTCGGTCCGGGCTTCCACTGCAATCGGGTCATCACCGAGAACGGATTGATTAATGGGCCTTCACGCGGCGGCCATCTTGGTTTTCTCATACGCGCACCATCCCTTGTCTCGGGTGCTTGTGATTAAATTAGTTTAATGTCGCGCTTCTTTTTAATCAGGATAGGTCCCTTGAGGAGTAGTTAAAACAAATATGTGATGTTACTGTTATCGTTCTACACGTCAGGGTCTCTGAGTCTCACAACGAGGCTGATGCCGACAGGCGATATCAGTGGAGTCACAACGGGGGTACAGTTTTTCTCCAGGGAGGTCGGCAGGCCTACCTCGGGGGGCCTCCCCCTCGAAATATTTAAGTGTACACATTATGCACAAGCCACAGTTTATTTGTTTTCAGTACTCCCTTAAAAAAAGTGCGCACCTTCGAGTCCCTTTCTACCGCTAAGTTTCTCCTTACTTAAAAACTCTAGGTGATGTTGACCCATTTTTCTTTTTTCTCCAACAAAAAGGAGTGCGACTGCTTTGTTAAAATGACGAACCAAGTGCGGTGCATTTAATTAAAGGGGTCAGAGCAGATAAGGCTCCTACTCTATTTATGACCTTAATTAATGAAGGACACAAAGATCTGCTTTTCTGTCGCCTATTTTATAACTATATAGGCTAAGCTAGTTAAGTTTTCTTGTGCTTTAACGTAATACGCGTGTAAATTTCTACCAGTTGACACGACTGAATGTGAACCCATTGTCTACACGCGTCACCGTGTGTGCTTAGGCCTATTACCTAAGCGTCCCATCTTTAATAGATTCCATTTTTTTAAGAACTCACCACGTGAGGCTTTTATTGCGATTTCAGACCGATATTCGTCCATTTCTATCAACACACGAAACGAAAGTCAGGCGTTGGTTTGTTATTCTTGGAGCTTGGCAGGGTTTATACAGCGATTTTCGGTACGGCAGATGCGCACCAACCCAAGCGTAACAGGCCCCGGAGTGCCAAGCGAGCCTCGCCCGCCGAGCTCATACCGTGGTCTGCGAGCCAGCCACGGCGAAGGGCAGACAGACGCAGTCCACATGGGACCCAGTATCGCCGCACCACTAATGACTTGACGCCCTACGTTCATTTGCGGGATTTCTGGTGGAATCGTGGCTGACGATGGAAAGGGGGGGGGAGAAAAGTTGACTACAATATCGAAGACTCGTGGCCATAATAGACACAACGGATTTCTACCCGGGGACCATCATATATACCGTCACTTTATGATGTGTTTGCCTAGAGGGGGGAAGAGAGCCGCGAATGAGGGGCTGAGATGATGGGAGCTTTTCTCGGCGATCGGCCGGCTCGCACCTGAGACCAGACCACTTAGAGTCGGCTTCTGGCTGAGCAGCGCGCTAACAAAGACACTGAACACTCCCGGGGATTACATTTCTCCCGTCGTTGCTGTTAAGAGAGTCGCGCGTGTAGGATGATGATAATGATGAGACTATGCATGCAAGGCCGCTAAAAGAGCGATGCTGGCTGGCCAACTCTCTCTCCCTCTATCTCCCCCGCCGTTTCTCGGTTTATTGGATTTCTTACGGATTGGTGTACGATTAGAGACAATTTGCGGCCGAGCACGGATCACAACGCGAGAGGGGATGTGAGGCCCACTGTCAACGGCCTCTTCAGACCAATTCAACAAAGTCAAAACACGATGAATCAATGTTCCCACTGTACCGTTTGTCCTCTGTGTTGTGTTGACTTTTTGATTTGTAATCTACAAATTCTCAATCTACAATGTATAATTGTTAGCATCAAAGTACTCACGTTATTTCTCACTTGGAGTCTGTTTTATAGAGTTTTCAGGTGCATAGATAGGCCAAACCTTTCCTCGATGTCCAAAGGCATCTATGTCAAGACTCATTTTTTCGTATGTTTGTCCGATAAGAAAACTACACCATATAGGACCTTAACTGTCGGAGTGAGAAGTAGAGGCATTTATCACTAACTCGTTCACGGTCAGTGGATGGCACCAAGAGCAGAACACGGCCCGAAGTTTCAAATTGACGGTTGATAATTTCCAGTGCTTTAAACAGTGCACAAACAACCCTGGAGAAATCAAGCCGGACTGCGGCAGAGAATCAGCCCTTTTGGTTATAATCTTTCAGCATCGGTGGGCCTTCATTTGGCACTGGTTTTCCCAGAGCACAATGATACGATTTCTCTAATTGAATAGACTCTTCGTACGTCGACAATATTCTTACACGTGTAGTGTGATAAGTAATCACATTTTGCCGCCAAAAAAACCGCGTTCACTTTTCGAAATTGCAGAAATCGGATTAGGGCGGTAATAAGGACGGCGAGTCGGCCGAAATCTCAGGCTAATGCAACGCTGTTTGCGGGGAATTGAATTAGGTAATTTTCTGAAATGGGAGTCGTGACGGATCGCGTCCATCGGATAAGCGCTGGGTTTGCTCTGGCTAAAGACAATTATAGCCGGGCGCGCCTCGGGAACGTAAACCCTGCGTTAAACTAAAACGAGAAAATTATGAATTCCCACTTGCGACTCGTGCGTCTCACTGATGATTCATTTTGCTCGTGTCTGCACGAAATTGTTGTTCGTCTGAGCACATTTTTTATAATAAAAAGGAACTTCGGAAAAGAGACCGCTTTTAGAAAGAAAAAAATGAAATGTAACCCCCGGGAGACGTGGCCGTAAATCCCCAGGGGGTGGGGGTATATATCTCCCCACACTTTTTGTGGTGGGAGGGTGGGCTATTAAATCACGCCCCACACACTTTTTGTGATGAGTAAAAAACCAAAGTGGATTGGGAAGAATGTTTTGGATTTCTCAACGACTAAAATGTTTGGAATATCACTAAAAAGGGAAAACAATTTTTAAAGTCATGATATGCCTTTCTGATGTAAGATTCTGCATGGATTTGATGCACATTACTGATGTACATCTTTATCACAAACATCGCCCCACTGTGTATATGGTGTTGCCCCCAGCCCTTTTTTCAAGTTTTCACGGTCAGGCAAGTCATCCCCACTTTCTTCCCCCCCACCCCCATTTTCCAGCACAGATGTACGCCACTGCCTGGAGAGTAAAGCTCTTGAGAAGTTGAATTCAAAGAACAAAATTAATCAAAATTTGCCTACAGGCCAAACGCCAAAAGGGTGACACAGGACAGTATCGAAATGTGCCATGCCCCATAAAGAAGTTTCATTCTACGAGCCGAAGAAACAACTGTGGCTCTTACCTATATAACACACACTGATTTGTCTCATTTCAAAAAAATCGTAACATACGAGGGTGTTGGTTACCAACGCTTTTTAATGAAACGCGGAAGACCTCCCATCACAATCACGATCTACATGTGCACTTAGAGTGTACTCAGAAAACAAGTCTGTTGATCTTGATTCAACCACCCCCCCCAGCCAATAAAGCTAACTTTCAGAACAATGATCACCAACTTTGAGTAAACTGTATGACTGTCTGAAGTAATATAGTATAGATGGCCTCAATGTTTAGCGAGATCATTGACAGGGACCGATCCCGACATTCATTACACGTCGTCATTTATCTTCCCACCTGTCGCTACATTTGCTCGGCCCAGGGTGTGCTGCACTTGTTACGATATACACCCTTGGTTGGGACGGGTCTGCCGCACAGATTGGGACAAATTGGCCGAAATTGGACTAGATTGGGCCAAATTGAGCTCCGAGTGAGTTCCAAGGCACACGGCCGTTGCCGTCTGGCTGCGAACCCTCGCCTACCTACCTTTCCCTCGTTAATCAATTACATCCCAAGTCGAGATGATACGCTCTGGGGAGTGCTCACGCATTAGCCCTAATCCTTATGACCTTGACGTGGGATAAATTCTTTTCCCATAATAGATACTTAGGGTGGAAAAACAGACAAGTTCAAAGCAGTGATAGACACCCATCAACATACTAATAACACTTTTTAAAAAAACCCTTTACAATATAGGACAGCTCCAAAATTATGGTGTAAATTCTACACCTGTGCATAAACACTGCGAGAAATATCGCATTTGAACACCTTTTGTGTCATTACTCGCCCAAACTAGATGCTGAAAGAAGACAAAAATACACTGAAACTGATTTTCATTTAAACGTGTTTCCCGTTAACTGTTTCAAACGATTTGGGTATTACCTTCACGATATCAGGAATCCAATCGCTGATCATTCACAAAGGCAGATGACAACTATACCACGAACTTTACATTTGAAAATCATCTTTACTTGGACGGAAACGAATTCTCAACCTGTTTATTGGCTTGTAACACTTTGCAATCTTGTTCAATAATCACTCTGATATTTGGGGGGGGGGTTAATACGCCCCCTATTGATTAAGCTTCGCGTTGCAGTTCATTACAGAGTCGTTCGTCGGCACAGCTAGGCAAAGCAGAAAGGTCATTATATTAATGTTGTTTCAAGTGTTTACGCATACATAACCACGGAGTCTTCTACTCGATTTAGCCCCGCAGGGCGCTAGAGAAAAAAACCACTCATTCCGAGCACAACTGGACAGATGGACTGCAAGTGGAACGCCCGCCCGCACCACTCCAGGAAAGTAAGATTCCAACTACTTGCAGACGGCCCACTGCGCATGTTCAGGTGACTTTTTCCCCCGACCATCACGATCTAGTTTCTAATTGGTTCACAGCACTCGGTTCGGCCCGTACGAGATCACGTGCTAAATTTGCTACGCGCACTCGCGTGTGCTGTATTTAGACAGTGAACTTTCCGCACGGTGTCATTTTGTTTTCAACCTTCTGTTCAGGACGGCGGTGGTTTATTTCGCTACCGTGTCTGGAAGTTGCGTTTGTTTTGGTACTCCATTGATGGACTTATACTGAAATATCTCCTTTTGCTTCTGATATTGGTAAGTAAATCTTCATTCTGTCATATGGTAATTTGAAAATATTATTACAAGACAAAGAAGTACTTCCTGGGGATTTTTTGAAGGAATTGGTTATTTCCACAGAACACTTGGTGGTGCTGTAAAAGCATCATGCAACACATTATTGTAATCAGCTGCTTCCCAATGCTGATTTGCGGTTTATGAGGCTTTAAGAATATCAGGGCATCATTTCAGCTACACTGTCGTTGTTAATCATTCCTGTACTTATTTAAAATGACACAAGGGAAACTATTTCCTTATGAAAAGAAATTTACGATCCCGGATGTTCACTTTAATTTTGGCTGATAATTTGTGTGAGGGCGGAAGGCAGAGCATCATATTAGTAAAAGGGCTACTTCACTGCAGAAAACTTGGTGCTATCAGAGGACCTTTCCAACACTTTTCACTATAGTGTTGACATTCTGGGTGTTACTTTTAACACCCTCCAATGCAATGCACACCGGCGGTGTTAAAGCAACACAGTTTGATAACACTAACAAGTGTTGTTTTGAACGTCGGCGATTTTGCAGTATTGGCATGATTGTTGCTGAAGCGTTTAGCCATTATTTTGGATGCATCCAATACACCCATATTAACAATTGCGTTAGGTGCGATTGTTATATATGTACCACCTGTCGACGCATGTCGTATGGCTTACACTTTTGCTGGACAAAACATATGTGGTGCTATAAGCTGACGTGTTGACGAGTTTAGAGGGAACAATGACTATTTTCTACGATGCTTTATATATAAAGCACCGTATATGACTTATATAAATGATATCAATTGCACAATTAGAAAAACAGCTTGATGGTAAAGGTCATTTCCTTACATTTCATGTCTTTATTTTATATTGTTATTAATTAGGCCTATGTCTTTTTCAAAAAGAAAAGAAAGCCATGAATCAGTACAACTACGATCATGAAGATCCAAGATTTTGAAAATTCACTTAATGAATTTTTGCTGACACTATGACCAGCGATAAGATATGATCTATTCTTGACGCCACTTTCATGACCGAATGTTGTTCCATATAATTATTTACAATTAAGATGAGGCTGGTTGAATCTTTTGATTCTCTAGGCATGGATATTAAATAGGCTTTTTTAAGGAAACTTTGAAATGCTCAGACTAAAAACCACAAATAGTGTGATGAAGCCGACTTCCTACGGTTGGATATTTTACTCGGAGCATCTAGAACATAAAAATCGGACTCGGCAAGAAATTGATACCATAATTTGCGTCAACAAAGAAGATTGACCGGTGAGCAAGTTGAATGTACAAGATGCACACTCATCTGCACAAAACTATGTCAAATGAACAATATGCAGTTTCCTGTGTGGAAAAAATAAACATGTGATGCCACGTGCCAAGAATTCATGATCGTGAACGTTCGATACATTTGCCACAGTTATCACGATGATACATTGTAACGCTATTTGGTGACATGCAGTCTTTTCATGACATGCAGTCGGTGTCAAAAGCTGGTTTTCACCTGGTCACAATTATTACATCTCATGTTTTAGTGCACATGAATGCACTGCGCAGTAATTATCTCCATGTGCGACTGCATTTGTGGAATTGATTTAAGTTCGTGAATTTGAGAGGGAAAAAAGTTTTAAACCAGTCCTTAGATAACGAAACGATAGTCCGCATAACAATAATAACCTTATGCGGGAACGTGTGCAGACGGATATCCGGTTCAAGGATTCCTAGCCCATGGAAAGCATTAATATCGTTATGTCATAGGTATAGACGACTTGCATCGTTTTTGCAAGCTAGACCAATATGGCGAAGGAGGTTATATGAAATACCACATTGTTGTCTAATAGGCCTACTGTCGATTACCAAGTAAAGCGAATGAGAATGGAAACCTTTCGCTTTTCACTCAAACTTATTGCTACACTGTCAGAGCGAATCTTGCTTTACATTTTCATTTTGTTATTGGCATTGTGCCGTCTGCGCAAAGCTTGCCGATCGTAAAATATATTATCCAATGTATCGTATTAAGGTTCCCGCCAAAAGTATATATTATCGTGCGCGATCTAGCCGCGAAATTTAAGCCGTAAGTAAAACGTAACAGGCCATGCGTCATTGCGTGGCAGCGATCTCTGGTTACTTGTTATTGCTGCGTAACGCACGAGTGGCCATCATCTCAATTATCTTGTCTCTTGCTGGGAGGCAGAAATTGGCTCGCTCCCGCGCTTTTTTCTCCCGACCATGGGAGGTTTTTGTTTTGAGATCGAGGCTGTGCATAACCAGGGATTCTACTCGGTCACGACAGAGGACTTTACGGCCCAGTCACCAGGGAGCCGTATAGGACACCGGGCGTGGGACGGAGTGGACGTTTTCGCGTGTCGCGAGCCGGGGAAAAGTCTTATTTAACAACAGAGATAATTAGCGAGGGATCCCGGGGGAGCTCTTCCTCTGGCCGTGAATTATTCCGGAATACGAAAAAGTGTCACATTTTGGCCGAGGCGTTGCTATGCGCAATCAATCACATCATAATGAGTCATTTCGGGTGAGAGCTATTGTTCAGCTCTGCATGACTCACGACAAAGACAAAGACAAAGGAATGATACAGAAGGCTTTGTGCATCCCACAGGAATTTCATTTTCATGGAGACTTAAAATCTGTAAGAATTTAAATTTTACTGGGCTTTAAGACATACGCGGTCGGATTCCTCGTTTATGGGTTTATTCATGTACTTGGTACACAGCACTTAATGTATTGCACTTTGGTTTATCAGTTCCCCCGAATGTGTAGTTATCAATACAATGTATTCAGGTGTCGGCCACCTTGAATTGAAAGTGAGGCAAAACGTTTTATTTGGGGGACCTAGGTGTAAAAATATAAGCGAAACGAAATAAACGTTCGTACAGGTTCATGCCAGATTTTGTTTAGAACTATTTAAAACTGGCGATAAATTATATCTAAATGTTTTTAAGCAACATTTAAAAAAATACAAGTGAGTTGAACTCAAAATAGCCTGGCACCACCCCATTTAACAGATTACATTGAATACGACAGACTTAAGGAACAAGATAAAAAATATTTATTATATTTTCATTTCATATTATCATATTTTCATTCTGCGCTGCTGTCTAACTATTTAGATTACTGCCTCTTATTTTTGGTTGCCCCGTAAGGCTACATGTTAGTTGACCACTGGAATCCCCCCCCCCAGTACTATTCATTTTCTGCGAAGTAATATCTTTTTTTAATGGGTATCGCTTGTCTGTATTGTGTGTTTTCATTTTTTTTGTGGACTTTTTTTAAAATAGAAATGTCACAAAGGAAGCATTTACGTGGCATTACACTCAATCCTCAAAGCCACAGATTACAGACCATAATGCTACAAATTACAGAGTAGGCCACAACCACACTGTGCAGAGCCTTGAATCTTTATTGGATTTTTATTTGGCTTTTCGTGTTTCAAATACCAGGTCTATTAAAGCTTCTCCATCCAAATCACCACTCATTGTTTATCGCCTCCCATCCGCCCAACGCCCTCCAGTCAGTAACCAGTTTGAGCTTCCTCTGTCAACCACCCTCTCACACCGGTGCTCCAGCCGTGCCTTCCCGGGACGAGTGCCGCGGTCTTACCGGTTGACATTTCCGATCGTTTTCGCCGCGTGTCCTCCAATTCAATAACAGTTTCCTTCCATTTCCGAGGCTCTCCTGGGCTCGTTCGATAATAATTAACCGGCTTACGAGTGGTTGTTGACTGTAAAAAAAAATAGTCTGGCAGTCGCCGCGCCAAATTGCAACGAGAGTTGATTAGGCTGAGATTAATGACTCTGCTCATTTTCCCTACGCGGACAGACGAAGCAATTGTGAATATGTGGGCAAAATTGATACTTTTTTCAGTGACAACCAGGATAGAAAATTCATTAGAGAGCTGGCTTCTGTAAACCATTTCCACGATGACACAACACCTGTTTCACCGAAAAAAAAATTACTCAAGTAAATGAAACACATCAGGATGCAGAGTCTGGCGGAACTGAGTTCCAAGTTCGCATAATGAAAAACTTACTCAGAGCAGAATAATTAGCTTCTTTTCGAAATGTTGTCGTGCGAGGAATACGTGTGGGCCGGACACTTACCTCAAAGACGACTTTTTGGCACAAAGATAAGTTTTTCGGTCGCACTTACACGCATTGTAAAATCACGTGAAGCCATCATAAATATAACGACGTACATGTATTTATGTAAGCCCTATTATAGATTATCCAGTTTAAGATACAAATTCAACAGCAAACCTTTCTGTCTTAATCAAAGCCTGTTCACTCTGGCTTTTTCGAACACAAACAGTTTTTATGCACTTTCGCCACCGGCCGAACTGTTTCTCTAGACCGCAGTTTTGAGATGTTGCGCTTATCTTCAAAGCAGAAGTCAGCCAACGCCTTTCTTCATAACGAGATTTCACTGTCCCAATTAGCGCCAAAAAGTGGTTTCTCACCTCAAGCAACTGCTGATACAGTAACCCAGCAACGGCGGCCTCATGTCCCTCCTCTTCCCCTCTCGCCTTCATCGTCTGCAACAAGCAAGACATCAATTAGCCTATATGGCTTCTGCGCCGCATCACAACCTTTGTCCTCCCGTCTCAGCTTACTCTCAACGTCGACTGCCTACCACTGGCCGTCTTTCTCGGGGAAACCTCAGGGTGTAATGGGCCCGGAGCCCCTTTATAAATCGCGCCCGGAAAGACCCTATTAGCGAGGTGCGATGACAGATGGAGGGATGAGAGGAGATAATAAGCAGAATCGGGAGAATGGAGCAGGGATGTAGCAACACCGGAAGCTTTCTTTTGTTGCCACCACTGTAACCCCGAGAACGAATAGGTCTAGGTATCACCCCCGCCTTCCTACTTTACAAAAACTTATAAAAGAGAATTTGAAGGAAACATGCATCGGATATTCAGCTGAACTTGATTTTATGCATTAAAATTCAAACAAGAACTAAATACTTGTTTTCATCAGAACTGAATGGAAGGTATTTGTTTTTCAATACTTAGAAAATAATTTCATCACCGTGTACATGAGGGCGCTATATTGATGTCATACAAGGCACTCTTTGTCAAGACAGCATAAGAACAATACAGAAACCAATCCTTCAAAGCGGCCCACCAACAATGTTTGAAGAAATATTAGACACCAACATTGTCAAAACAAGTTGCTCGACATGAAAGCCTTCACCATGGAGCCTACTCCAAAAATGTAGAAAAGTGTGATAAATATCTTGTACATAAAGCTATGGAGACGCTCCTGTTTGTCTTATATGGCATCATGCTCTGGCTCACGAAGATGGAAATTTTCATTAGCATGTGGTGGAGGTCATTGTAACTTGTAAAAAAAAAGCTGTACAAGTGCATTCAAATCATAATCATCCCGTTAGAATTACAGGATTCCGCTCCTCCATACATGAAAATAATGTATGCTACATGTAATCTCAAAGAACATCTGGTACTTTGGGGTATCTTGCACTCCAAGTGCGTTTGTAAAGATTGCCTAATGACGAGGACACTTAGGCAACAATTGTCAAAGATTCTGTGACAAAAGTGACAGAAATGTGTAAGAACAAAAAAGACATGAGTCCGTCCGACAACCCGTCAATAAACCTTACTGCCTACCATAAAAACCAAAAAAAAGAAAGAAAGAAAGAAGAAAAGAAATCAGTCTTGCTGCACAGCTGCGTCAAAATATTACTGTGGTGACAAATATGCCTATTCATTCAGTGCAAATAGATTTCTCCCCGTGGCTGATTCATGTCAGTGTAAGCGCAGACTGGGTTCGCTTAGTGTGGCGCCTTTGCCTGAAATGATGATCATATAATCTTTGCAACACCAAGGCTCTTTCGTTAATTAGCAGTAATCACGGACGAGTGGATGTCGATGGCGCGTGCCAATGTTACATAACAGGGAACGTGCTGGAAGGATTTGCTATTAAGAGGATTACATGTATTGTAGATCACTACATCTGCAATCTATCACAGGATATTAAAGATCGAGCTAAAACTGACACCAGTGCTGTCAATAAGACTCATACAAGAACTGGAAGCAGTTGGTCACGAATATGCACATGTAATGCACATCTTGTTGTTTATTGTCATAATACCAGGATCCCAGACTGTCCAAGACTTATAAGTTACATTTACGAGTAAAACATTCCCTCCACAAGCATCATATTTAGGGATTATACAACTGGACTGTTCAATGAGAAAGTTCACCTTAGCGACAATTATTCAATTGCTTCTGTGTTCTTACAGCTTTTGGGAAATTCGGAACGCCATGCCAACGCTGACGACCCCACCTTTACGAGATCAGCAAGTGACGTCATCTTTCGCTGAGACTCTGAGCACTGTCCTCCTCAACGACGGAACGGGGACTTGTCATGAGGATGCGGATGATGTCACCGATGACGTTACCAATTGCAATCTAGAGTCATCGTCCTCATCGTCGTCATCGTCGACGAAGGTCAAGACGTCCCGCTCGAGAAAACGAGAAAAGGGCCTCGACGAAAACGGGGAGAAACCACCACCGAAGAAACGCGGCCCGAAGAAGAAGAAAATGACCAAAGCCAGGGCCCAGAAATTCAAACTTCGACGTTTGAAAGCGAACACCAGGGAGCGGAACCGGATGCACGGGCTCAACGACGCGCTGGACCGACTGCGAACGGTGGTCCCCTGTTACTCCAAGACCCAGAAGCTCTCAAAGATCGAGACCCTCCGACTAGCGAAAAATTACATCACTGCCTTGGCGGACATTCTGAGAACAGGCTCGGTTCCGGATACTGTGTCCTTTGCGCAGACTCTGTCCAAGGGCCTTTCGCAGCCCACGACGAACCTCGTAGCGGGCGCTATGCAACTAAACCCGCGCACCCTGCTACCCGAAGACAACCGGAACACTTACGGCGTCTGGCCAAAGAGGGCGCCCTACGAGTCGTCTTACTTTGATCCCACTGACTGTGGCTTCGCTGACCAAGTCGGCAACTCGGCAGTCGACGAAAACTACAACACGGCCAACTTTTCCGGTCCGGACATCACAAGACTGCAGCAGGATGAAGTCATGTACGGGGAAATGTCAAATGGCTACGGCCGCCATTTTGAAGGCACGCCCATCAACAACACCCAGCTGCCGCGAAATGCAAATTACCAATGCCAGTACACCACTACCAACCAAAACCACCAGCTCCTGCAACAACACCCCCATGCCCGAATGGACTGTGCTAATGAACCATTGGCGGATGATCTTTTTACATCACTTGGATATACTTCACAGAATACCCGGATGTACGCCTACGGCAGTCCGGTTGGGGCCGCTGGAAGTGGCGCACAGGGGGGCAATATGGGTAACATTTATTCCCCCGGTGGGGATCAATACGTGTCATCGACAATTTGTGACAAGGACTTGGATATATTAGGATGCGGAAACAATATTTTTCATTGATAAATATTTGTAAATCAGAATAACGACTGTTACAACTCCAACCAATTTACCATACCTTTAATTTGTCATTTTTGCTTTTCAGCTGTTGATAGACTATGTTCCCTGATTAATTAATCACGAGAAAAATGCACAGGAACTTCTAAACCAAATTCAAATAATTGGAAGCTTTTTGCGTAAAAGCGTCCCTACGGCAGTAAAGATTAAATTAAATTTTCTGTGTTCGTAAGCAATTTGTTTCAGATTAAATTCCAATTGAAAAGAACTTTACCTTTGTTCTTGCCATGCACACGCAAAATCAACCACACAAATCCCACCGACTAAACTTCCTAAAAGTTAATACAAACAGCGCCCCCATGATACGGAAGTTGAGTAAGCCCAATTGCACAAGGAGATCTTTTCTGATCTTACCATTTTTTAACTTTACGGTGAACTCATTCCGCTGCCAAGTCTGTTTTTATCGAATTGTAAATATTGTATTTTTTAAGAAACAAGCAGATATTTTGTATATATTTTCCTTATAATACGAGGGCATTCCGGTTAGTTTGAAAATAGAACAGGAGTTCAGAACAAGTGGGTTTTCGAAATGCGGTTAATTTTTTTTTTCGTTCCTTTCATTGCCTCTATTGACCGAAGTGCAATATTTTACAGTACGTTATAAGAAATACCGACAAGAGTATAATTAATTAAAGGGCAATTCTTAAGTTGAAACAGTGTGCTTTTTCAGAAGTTTAAAGTGAATGCGTCACTGATTCGACTTCAACACAAGTATCACCATGCTTGAAACCATGCTTCAAAAGTTTCCATCGTTTCTATGATTAAAGGAATGAGATTTCAGGCTTACAGAATTTTACCAAAATAAATAAGACGACGGGTATTGGCCTTTGGCAAGCTGCAGGCAAAATACTTCAGTCGTTTGTCATAGACTTTTGTGTTGGTGCAAGCTCAAGTTATTTGCACACGGCCGGTAAGTGCACGTATTTCTGTAATTAACATCATCCTACAAAATCGTTCAGTATCCTCGTTATCCTCCGAAACGTTATACCACGAGGCCACTAACAGCCCAAGCGGAAAAAGTAGTGACAATTTTGAACCCTTTTACGAGGACGGGGTTTACTGTTCTCCCAAATTCACAATTTTGCGTGACACTACTTGTAAGACCTGTGACAAACGTGGTGTCAAAATCACTCATTCTTCCTTCAAATACGGTAAAACACGACAAAGCTAACTCACCACTGCCAGACCAGCGTCCTTGTTGCTGCTGAGAGCACCGATGGACAACTCGGTTGGAACTTCGCCCTACTTGAGTCCATTGATCCAGTATGTTACTTGTAAAATCCAAACAATTCCCGACTGCACCAAAGTCTTCTCAAGGTAAACACCATGCTGTTTGAAGTGGGCACATGCACACAGCTTTGCTGACCGACCGAAACACCAGCACTCCCAATCTACTTGTCATTGCATGTTGCTATCTCTGAACACTCTAATATGGCGAAGAATTTGGATAATGTCCAGAAGTAACTCTGCCTCAGTCGGTGTCTGACCGGCTTTTGTCCCCCGCCCCTAAATTCACTCCAAGTCGTGACACAATATTGAACAGCAATTTTCAAGTTGCGCTCAATGCACAAAAAGGCGCACGTGCCAAGCCAAGCTGGCTTTTGTTGTTGATGCCTTGCGCACGTGCGCGGTTGGCGACTTGGAAGACGATGGAATTTGCACTGAGACAAAAGCTGGCCTGGTAACCTACGGTGGCTGCTAAGGAATCAGTGACATTCGTTTAATCATCTACTGGCATTCTTATTTAATATTTGTCCGTGCTCGATAGCTGTTTATGTATAAAAACGTTAATCTTTCAACTTCGCAATGATCACACAAGGTGGCACACAACCATTCTCTTGTCCAAGAGTTCCAAAAACTATTTTTCTTTTTCAATAACGCGTACCTTATGTGTTTGCTGAATGTTGCGAGTGAGGAACTTCAATAAAAAAAACGTTAATTTCAAACGCTGTTCGCCAAAGAATCTTTCGGAAGAAAATAAAAAAAATCTTACAGACAGAGGAAAAAATGGGCAGAAAATGTAAGCCAAGCAATCGAGTCACTATAGTGCGACTTTCATTAAATAGAATTATATTTTCACATTCCAAGAAGTGAAAACGTTTTGAAGGAAACAAAAGTTGGAATTTACTATCACTAAAGCATGCAAATTTCCTGATGATTTTCGACCTGTGGTTATTTAAACCTTCCCAAATTTGATCTTTACAAACCGTTCAGATATAATGCAATAGCATATAGAGGGCATTAGTTATTTCAATTTGTAAGCTGAATGAATTAACCTTGCTGCAACAACCTATCTACATAAAGAATCCTGACATTACTTACGCCATCACAAATACATGTAATACGAGAAAATATATTCAGAAGTGGATCTTACAATAGTATGTTGCGGTAAATTGCCAAAGAAAATGTCACTCGGATATGGAAGATAGAATAACAACAGCATAAAAGAAAAACAACTTGGACCGTAAAGCCTAGTAATTTTGTGTCTTCGTTGTCGTTTCAAGATTATTAAGTCACAAATCACTGCAAAATTTACTGAAAATTATTCTCAACCTCCTCGAAAGATTTCGACAATAGCTATTTTGCATCGCGCGACATATGATGTGAAATATGAAACGCTGGCACACCTACTTGAAAAAACTGAATTAATAAATGTTTTATTTTTGGTCTTCTTGTCGTGTAGGTATTAGTTATACAAAACCATTGCCAAGACTGTTTAAGCTAAAAAGCTTAATTTTAAAAATGCAAGTGCGCCCTCATTCGGTACAATTCATAGAGATAACACAACTTACAATCTACTTCTTGACCGTGGGCGCCCATGTGCATCCAGGTCACATGTATATTTTCAACTCAGCCTATGAGACCTCACGAACCAGAAAAAAAAAACGGCCCCGAATGTCTAAGCTCTGTCGAGTTAATTAAGTCCATTAAATTGAACGCCCTCGATACCACAATGTACATTACGGAAAAACACTTTATTTTTAACAAAAGACACTTCATACACTCCTATTCAGTGTACTGGGTCATCAAAGAGGTTGTTTAAAATCTATTTTTATGACAAAGCAATTCATTCCATGGATCCAAGGGGCGAAGTATCACTATTGATTTTATTAAGATCAGAAACCAGCAGCAATTCAGTTTGAAAATGTTTTCCGGGGCTACCTCGTTCACAATTATGAAGTTGAATTTGCGTTCACGGAATGTTGATTTTTTTCCGAGTGTTCCCACTGTCACTTGGCGGTCGTTTTTGAATTTAAGTCGCTCATCTCTGTGTTGTTATAGCTTGCCCTGGCTCCCCTTGAGCTCGCGCCAACTCTCATAGACCCATGTGGGGACCCCGTCGTCCCTCCCCGACCGTCCGTCTGTAGTCCCGCTTGACGGAAGCAGCAGGGGATGGCCTTCCGAAAGCTCCTTCGAAAGTTCGCCCCGAGAAAGGCGTAAATGAAGGGGTTGGCGCAGGAGCTACAGTAGCTCATGACGTGACCCACCGTCTTGAAGTAAAAAGTCCCGTCCGTGAAGGGGAAGTTGGGGTCCAGCCGGTGCCACATGTTGACGACATGAATGGGGAACCAGCAGACGGCGAACACCACCACCACCGCCAACACCATCCACGTGATTCTTCGCTTCTGCATCAAGCTGCGCGCGGTGTTGACCGCGTCGGCCTGGCCGCTTAGAGCGTCGTTCGGTACCACCCGCTTCCAGAGGTGACGGATCATTGCGCCATAGCAGACAGCAATAGCAGCCAGAGGGAGGGAGAACACCAGAACGAAGGACACGACGACAAAGCACCGGTTCCACGTTTTGCTGGGCCAGTGTTCCGTGCAGTAGGGTTCCACCCCGTGAAAGTCGATGTACTCAATGTCAAAGAATATCAGCACCGGTATGTAGATAATCAGAGCAACTACAAAGCAGACAAATAAATACATGTACATATAAGTGACTGTTTACTGATAATGCAATCTCATTTCCTTACAAATGCTTGACCAATTTTTTAACCACTTCATATCCAATGTCAGTCACAATTTTGATTACCTTCACCTGAGGAAAATTCCTCCTAAACATTTGTAAAGATTCTACTGAAGTTTAGAATATCTCAGGTAATTTCATTTGAGGCATCAATCAATTATTCCTAGTCCCCAACATGGTGCGGCCAATTACCTATCGTATGCATGAAGTGATTTTGCTGTCAACTCTAATATGAACATTTTCGATGCCCGTTTAAAGAATGAAAACAAAACTTACACAGCCATATGGAGACACTGATGAGGACAGCCATCTGGAGCGTACGGGTCCTCAGTGACTTCAGGGGCCTGACGATAGCGTGGAAGCGGTCGACACTCATGGCAGTCAAAAGAAAGCATGTCGCCTGCGCAGTGACCTTTCAAATAACAAAAAATTGATCCAGAATTTCAGTGTTTCACTACTCTTACTTGGGGTTGACTTTGCGCGGTATACCGTAGGTCGGAACAAAGGAAAAAATGCTTCAATGTTATTAAAAGAGGTGACAAAACCATCAATCAATATCAATCATAAAGAAGTACTTAGATAGCCCTTTGATTCTTTTAAAACGTGGTGAAATCTGTGAGAAAGTGCGTGTCTTTTTAAATTATGCACCCATTCTAATGAGCAGGTAAGTCTTAGGACTCGTTTTCTTTGTACAGGTAGCAGAGTCCAAACAACGGCACTCCTGGCACTCGATATTGGTCCTCAGGCACCAGGTACCAGACAAAATATCCTCTATTGGCAAATAAATGGCATACCAACTGCAGATAGTACACGGTCTTGCACATGAACCGACCAAAGTAAAAGGCTGGCGCGGTGTAGTGGGCTGCCGTAGGGGGAGCACAGAAAGCAAGGAACAAGATGTCGGAAGCAGCCAGATTCACGATGTAGTAGTTGGTAACAGTCCGCTTACTTGCCTTGATGATGACGTATATCACTAGAGTGTTACCAACGACGCCAACCGTTATCAGAATACCTGAGTGAGCAAAGCAATGCAAACCAAACTGAAGTAACATTAAGGAAATCAAAGACGTGATGGAGACGCAACTTCAATTTTTCTTTGTTGGGCCACCGAGATCAAAGTTGGTCGCTTTTTCACAAAGTGATATTTAGACATTCCCGCCACGTGCAACAAAATCGACTTACTGAAAATAACTGGCATGAGCCAAGTGAGGTAGGCTAAATTACTGGTGGTGTCGCTCTCTGGTGGCGATGTGGCAAACGACGTCAGTGTGCCATTGCCCTCTGCAGTTGATATGAAACGATAGGGCATCATCGCCGTGGTCATCTTTCCCTCCAAATTGTCGGCTTTACGCCAATTGCGACGACAGACTAATTTCAAACAGATTTCTTAGGATCCAGGGATTAACCTGTGGAAAGTGGGGCAAGAAAAACATTTATTTCAGCGGGCAAAATACAAATTTCCAAAGAGTGCATGCACTTAAAGTCAACGAAAATTCCTTTAAGGACGAATATCTAAGGAATGCCATCTTTATACCGGCCGACCACCATTTTGATTTTAAAACAAAAAAAATCTGTGCTCATTTTACGACGACTGAAAAATTATTAAAGTCAACTGTGCTAACTGAACAATACCTGTAGCTTGTTCGACGCATCGTAAGTCACGTGCGTTACCTTCTTAGACTTGACTAATTTCTGGATAGGGTCCGTTAATATTTAAACGACCTTTTCATTTTTCGTCTGTTGGCATTACTAAGAAAATCTTACATTGTCCTAACAGTATATTTATCTTTTTTTCCCTCAAGGCGCATGTTGTTGCGAAGATACCCGTGATCTTTAATTCGATTAAGGCCGTTTCACGGTATAACTTTTCGATCTGCATGCAAGAAACCCAAAGAAAACAAGTCAATCTTCCAGTGACGTATGAGAAAGGGAAAAAGCGGGAAACACGAAGACACTCATGTAATTGATTGGTTGGACATGCACGATAAACTGATGCCAGCGACCCAAACAAACACAAGATCAAATATGTATACCCTGTCATTCATTAACGCCAAATTTCAGGGAGAATTAGGGTTTTCCACAGAGACGGACCTGGAATCAAGATATGTTAATCTAATCGATCAGGTGCTGAAATTGCCAAAGAGCAAAAAAACATTAGATCCAAAGCACAAGACAAGGCATCACATAAGCGTACGTGACAAAGTTGCTAAGTCATGAGATTGCACGATTGTACACTTCTTAAAAAAAAGAGGATCTTTTAGCAACTTTTTAACAAAGTAAAGAAAATATGCATTTAGACCGTGATTCTCAGTGTAATAGAAATACTAAATAGAATTACCAGCACACACACAAAAAAGATGTGGGCACAAACACAGAGTGGCATTATCAGATGGATACACCGGAACTTTAAGCAGCGATTACTAATCTGAGATAGCGTTCGTTACTTGCCAACCCTCCATTCTCGATGTGTTTCTTTGCATAAAAAATTGTGTAATAGAGTACCGAAATGTGACGTCACTGGGAACGAGAAAGTGCAGTGCAAACGAATGGAGTACGCGCGCGTGTTGGTTCACGCGCTGGTTCTCGCGCTAATGCCTTTTACACACTAAGGCCGTGTCGGAAACGAGCTTCCAGAGCTACTGTCTACGTGTTTCCACGCATTTCTAATGGAGAGAAGACCTAGACCTAGCTCTAGACAAGAGATTCGGATGCAGCCTAACTGTGTGCGTGACGGATTCACTTTGGTACTCTATTCGAGGTTGAGATCAGTGTGCATCAATCATAGAGCCTAAAAGAAGGCTTTCGGTTCATCAAAACAGCTGCTTGACACTTGTAAATTATTTATCGCCAGCAAGCTAAACAGTGTCGAGATTGCCACGATATTGATTACGTTTGTGGAGAAGAAATGTGAAGAGTGAGAATGGTTGACTTATAAAACTGTTTTAAAAGGAATAGTGGAAATATCAAAGTCCACAGCAAATTGATGGAAGTAAACGCGTCAGTGTACGGAGGTATCCCATTCAGACCACGACACATGTATTTACATAAGCAACAGAACGGAGCTTATAGAAACAGGAATCGTGCAGGGGGTAACGAGAACATAAACTTACCACGTAAACTCACCACGGTGCTCACTCCAGCATGCAATGTAAGGGAGTTAAAAGATAATTGGAAGAAGTTCGGAGCAATCGCATCTAGCACGGGATGTAGTTAAAACAAGTTTAATACTGGCTCACAGAGTAAGTGGCATTAACTCATTCCGTCAGGTTTTCTCACATAACTTCAATATACAGACATGACACGAAATGGGGCATGAATATGGGCTTTGGTGTTCAGTGCAAGATTATTTTATTTACACCGGTGAAAAACAGAAGTTAAATAGAAGTTAAATCTTGTAATAATCACAGATATCATAAAAACGATGGCCACCGCTCAATATTAAACGAAGACATTTCTGCCGAAAGATAACTTTTGTTTCAAGGAGGTAAAATTTAAAGAACGGTAACTGAGACAGCAAGCTGGTACTGAAATATTGGGCACAAGGAAAAAAGGAGGCAAAGAATATCACAGAGACAAACTGCATTACTTAACTGTGAAAGATAGGCAAGTCTTAAGCCAAAAACCAGAGTTAGGAGCAAGTGTTTTATGGGCACATTCGATTGGCAACAGGTTACCCACGCCACTTTCACTCCTCAATCATTTTCTTCAATTTTGGTGATTACACCAGAGTTTGTTTAAAATATTACACCACTGAATAAAATTGCTTCTTTAACTGTGTTTCCACTGAATAGACCTAGTGTAAAATCCAACTAGTTCAACGAAACAGCGCAATAAATGTACTCATCAATACAGTCAATTTCCTTCACAGCAAAGGACTGTCTTCAGGGATGATTGTGTCAAATTCAGCAACACGCATTCCCAGTCACTGCGTCAACTGGGATAAGTTTCATATCTCTTTTAAAAATGTATTCGAAGACGAAACAATTCGCCAAGCCAAAGAAATAGCATAACATTACAATGTCACAGCCATTAGCGTGCATGGCTTTGATGAAAATCACTTTCCAACAGCAGGTACTGAAATTATATTTACAAAGCTATTATTAAAAAGCTCATTACGGTTATTTAGGCTTATATTTACAAATTGCAGATATTACCTGAATCAGCTATACACATCAAGATCATCAGATGTATATCACAATTAGTAAGAACGCCACAATCTTACTTGTTTTTGAGGCTGACATTTGCATCAAACTTATAGAGAGGTCAATTCTTCCGCAACAGGATTTCTTCCCATTTAAAAATTAAAATGTGGCGTTTTCTCCTAGGGGGCGCAATTCTTATGGAAGCGATCATTGGTCCTGGTAGATGCCGACCTACATACTGACAAAGAGGGCGCCCTATCTGTTACACTAATCCGGGGACCATTTAAGGTTCTCGGGTCTCGTTGACGTCAGTGGTCGGGCACTGCCTTGGGACTGCATCAAAAGACAAAAAGCATAAAACATTTATCTTACCATGGCTTCGATGAGCCATCATAATTATGACGAAGTGGTACCCCATGAGTTATTACAAGTACTGTACCAAGTATAGGCCTGTCCATGCGGCAGCATCATGCACGTTTGCTGAAGAAAATGTATTGTGTTCTTGTTTGTTTTTGAAACAGAGGATTTTGCACTGCGGGGAGACAGGAAGGTCAAGGAGGCACTAAAATGACTTCAATTATTGTGGCTCAGCCAAATCTTGCAATAAAATTTGGCTGGGTGCATAAAACTACCTTATTTCCGGTAGATTTCGCTGAGCAGCACCATGGTAAAGGTTTCATCTTTCGTCGGTTGAAATGCAAATGATGGAACATTACGGTTTATGTTTCTTGAATGGACAACTTCGAGTTTGAACCAACCGTGTGTCTTTCCTTGCCCTTCCTGCCACCTCTGTTTAAAGTCACTGCATGCACTCGCCAGCAAAAACTGAAATAGGCTAGGCAGCGCCCCCTAGAGTCAGAACACGAAGTCCCCATAGGGTCATATTATGCGTCTACTCTAGAAGGCAAGCTGCTCATTTGTGTGTTACTGCCAGTCCTGGTGCTCGGACCTGCCACTAAAGTGGATCCCTGGTTAGCACCCGTCACCCCTCGCCTGGCCTCGTCTCTGTCCGCCCTGGCCCTCTTGAAGCAGCAAGGAAACGCCTTCCGGAAACTTTTCCGGAAGTTCTCCCCTAGGAAGGCGTAAATGAAGGGGTTGGCACACGAGTTGACGTAGCTCAGCACGTGACCGGCGGTTTTTAGATTTAGAGCGTGGTTCGTGTAGACAAAGGAGGCACCGAAGCTGGACCACAGTGAGTAGAAATGGAGCGGGAACCAGCAGACGGTGAACACTATCACCACGGTTAACACCATTAACGTGATCTTCCGTTTCTGCCTCAGATTACGCTCGGTGTTGGCGGTGTTTGCCGGGCCGCTGACGGCGTCAGAAGGCGCCACGCGTTGCCACAGGTGACGGAGCATGACCGTGTAGCAAACAGCGATGACAACCAGAGGGAGTGCGTACGGAAACAGGAATGTCATGATCGTGTAGGCGAATTCCAACGTCCCGCTGGGCCAACTGATGAGGCAGTATGTGGTCAGAGTGCCCTGGTACACGAGTTCTTGGAGGTCAAAGTAAAGCGGGAACGGGATATACAGCAGAAAAGCAGCTGAAAATACAAAAAATGCGGGATATGCTATAAATACGTAGCTCCCGTAATTGCATATAGGCCTTGACTTATTCAGCCAGCTCTGTGAGCCTCAAGCTGGACCAAGAGAGGGCGCCATTTTCTTAGCAACGGAGGCTCCTTTGGTAGGAACTGAACTTCGCTGGTTTGACTTAAAAACGCACGCATCACAGTCGCATCGCTGCCTACAACTTTAATACTCCAGACCAAAACGGCTCTTATCATTTTCTTTTCATTCTCTTATCAGGAATGCGAATTTGCCCATAGTTTTGATTTTAGTCGGGCGCCGCGCAGATCCCAATATTTTTATGTAGTTTTGAATGGGATCTGGTGGTCTGCGCATTTCTATGTCTTTGATCCACCCTGAGTTGAAATGCACCCTCACCGGCGAGAGAAGGACAGACTGGTACGATGAAGTTTTCCAACCTGGTTCTTGCACGCGCTTGGCGTACACGCGAAGACCATACATTCCAGCATAAATTCATTGCGCATACTCAGCGTGCACCACGCCCGACGCGCACAAATATGCGCCCCATGCAGTGAGTTCATACCAAAGGACTGTCCATTTCTTTCTAAAACATGCCCTCTTTTGTTTCCGCCTGAAGCGGATTGCTCAATTCTAAAATGCAGCACTCGCCTAAAAAGATTCGATTTGTTGGGTGGAGCTCGTGCGCGTTCCTAATGACCAAGCACAACTTACACAGCCACACCAAGACGCTTATGGTGATTGCCGTCTGCAGGGTGCGAGTCTTCAGCGATTTCAGGGGCCTGACTATCGCCTGGAAGCGGTCGACACTCATAGCTGCCAGAAGAAAGCACGTCGAGTGCGAAGTGACCTGCAAATGGCACAAAATATACACGATGCGCGTCTTTGTTAATTAATATTTTTTTCTCTTTTTCTTGGCTTCTGTTTTGATTTTTTATGGGGTTTTGGAAATAGGAATGGCTTTGGGTGGCCCTATTGCGATATCTTTTGTGTTTAGTGGGTGTTTTGTTTTATGCTGTGCGTGTTTTGTTTTGTTTTGTTTGTGTGTTTGGCTTTTTGGTTTTTTTAACTAAAGTTTTAGTTTTATAGACTAAAAATGGATCTGAAAAAGAAAGGAATGGGTGATCCTATTGCGACCTCTAACAATTCATCGTGTTGACGAGAGAGAACCTTACATATTGCAAGTAGAGGACGACCTTGCACATGAACCTGCCGAGAGTGAAGCCCTGGTTGAGGTAATCATTGGCGGTCTTTGGCGCACAAAATGCCAGAAAGAGGATGTCGGCAACGGCCAGGTTCACGATGTAGTAGTTGGTGACCGTCCGCTGGCTAGCCCTCACGATGACGAAGATGACCAGACTGTTCCCCACCATGCCGACGCAGATGAGAATTCCTGGTGGGAGAAGCGGTATTTAAGGTCCGACAGACGGGATCACTTCACATGAACACATTTTTTTCCGAACAGACGAGCTGCTGTATCAAATTTCTCCAAATCGCTGCGGCTTCGCCTGTACTCCACACAAGTTAACGCAACCCCCTTATCCATTTTACTGTTTCACTGTTATTAAGTCACTCTTGGCTCAAACACAATTTTGAGACAAACTAGCAGGAACTCCCAAAATGTGGCGTCAATTTCAACAAACGCGAATCAGCTCTTCGGCAACCTATATTGAAGCGATGCTTTAGGGATCCACACCTTTTGATGGCCGCGTATATATCAAAAAACCTTGTTATTAAGGAGGGAGTTGCAGGGAAACAAAGACTTATCATGTTAGAAGCCATTCGTTCGAAACAGGGTTGAAATTTATGACCATAGTCAACCGCTCTTCCAAATCAATCATGCAAAGGGCCCATTGATCTTTTGAAAAGTTGTATGACATTTTTGACTGGGATTCATGATAAAGGGAATTTCAAAGCACAAGGATTTAAACTTTTCTGCCACACTGCATCAAATGACATCCACACAGAGTTTTAAATACTGGGACAGACGGGAAACACCTATCCTTCATACATATAACCATTTTCTCAATCCCCTGTCTTCCTCCGACAAGTTCAGACATCACAAAACATGTTGCCACAAGGACATCAAGAATGAGCGTCTTTGACTACACGGACGACTAAGTCCTGCTCATGACAAGGGAAAATTAGAACTTTACAGTGGACTTACCAAGTATGACCGGTATGAGCCACGGGGGGAACGGAAACAAATACGAAGAACCGCCGTCCCCCGTCCACGGCGCCTCGGTCGAGTTCGGCACAACGGTGTTGTCGTCCAGCGCCGTCGAGAGGAACAGCAGAGCGGTCGTCATCTTTTTCCCGCCAAAATGCCCGATTAAGTGACCACAGCGCCCGAACGCGGAGACCCGCCAATTGCAAAAGCACACCACATGCAAGGGTTGTGGGGGAGGTGAAGAACTGGAAGGACAGTTTTTGGAGAGGTGAAAACAACTCAGAGGTTAGACCGAATGGTTAGTATTCAACATGAAACTCTGCACGTGGATGGTAGTTTCAATACAGTTCTAGAGATAAAATGCAGGTGAACTAGGTACAAGCTTATAAAGTACCCACAACTCATGCGTCATGCAGTGACGTTTTTAACACGTGATTCTGCGGGGGCTGGACCGATTCGTCCATTTGGACAGACGTGGACAGGGCTCGAAGCACGTGGTATGTGTGCTATGCGTACATTCTGTTTGAAAGGGCAATACATTTCATAAGATGAGAAGGGATCGTGAACCGACAAGTGCACTGTAAACCGTGCCCACATTTTTAAGTGCCAAAAAAGCCACCAAGCGCGCGCGTGACGTGCCGACGGGGACTATTAAGCCAGTAAGTGATATTTCCGGTTAATATTTGAGCAGTGTGGAGGTTTTCTATCACGAATTCTCCCAGGTAAAGTAAGTATGCATGATGCAAAGTCCGTTATGGGCGGCGAGTTCAGCTTCAGTACGCTTCAGAGTACACTTGAACCGCAGAGACGCCACAACGGCACGCCACAGCCTTGGCAACGAGCAGCGAGGGGGATCCTGGACAGTGATTTCATTTAGACGAATAACAATTGAAGGATCATATAGCACAGACACAATGCATGATGCAGCCATTATGGAGGACCACGGGACTTTTGGGCAGATCCTGATGCAATCTAAACCAATCACAGAACAGCGCTGACTGAGGTTTGCAGAAGAAAATTAAACCCATTGCAAAGTACAATCAGTCGTATAGATCGTTAATCAAAGCTCAAACGAGCCCCGACGTCAGGGCTTTTCTTATGGTAACTATAGCCACACGTGATATCCTCAGGTCGAAACAACATACTTATGGCCAAGAACCTCATTTAAGTCTCGCCTGCCTAACAACGGTTGTTGAACCGTTGTCGTTTAAAAGTGGGGCCCCATGCAGCCGAGACATTGTTGTGCGTCTTACACAAGATTATGATAAATGCAATATTGAATGCAAGAAAGTCCTAAAATCCACGCGACATCGCACTTGATCTACTGCGCATGCTAGATGCACGTGGCTGCGATGACACGAAAAGTCCCGCCAAAACGTCTCTTTCCAAAATATCTTGCCTCCCCATGTAGCAGCACAACAAACCATTTAACCACGTGACTCGCTAAGGGTCACTAACCCACCTTTTCAGCCCGAGGGTAAGAACGCGAGCTGCGCAAAACCAATCAAGTTGTTATTGCCTGCTTAAACAGGACTTTACTTTTCATTTTGCTAAAAGCAAGATGGTGTTAGGTTTTACCAGGTATCGCAGTCGGGAGGAATCGTGCGCTCGGGCTCCGAAAATCTCAAAATTACCCGTACTCTTAAACTCAAGGGTCTACAGTGGTGCTTCTACCTGCAATGCCCGTAATGAAATCTGATGACTATGAGAGAAGGGCGTTCTCACAGACTAGCAGAAGACACTTGTAGTGTAGTAAAGTACTACTAATTTTAGAATGGAACTTGATTCCAAGAAGGGAAGACCAGCTTTGAACCCAATTTTGATAAGTCAATGAGATGCCATGACAAAAATAATGAGAAAGTGTATCAACAGACGAAGTAAAACTTAAGGCTTCAAAGTAACCGGAAGGCCGTTCCGGGGTTTTTTTTGGGGGGGGTATTTTTGTTTTTCTGTTTCTTTTTTTTTTTCTCTCTCTATCCTTTTTTTTTCCATTTGCTCCTCTCTGTCGACATTTTGCTTGCAAGAATAAAACGAAACTTCCTGCTTTTCTGGAAACTTCAAGAATCGAGGGTGTTTCGCACAGGAGTGCACGGAATGCTGTTTACGCGAGACATCTTTGTTTGTTCCGAAATCAAGTCAAATTTGTCGAACGGGAATTGGTCACGTTTTCTCCTCTTTCCCCCGGCAGTTCGCTAGGAGATATTTTCGCAGCGTGCACAAGGACAAAAAAAACCATCGGGGACAGCAAGGGCCGCGCGACGAGCAACACATGCGGGGCGATGCAACTCCTGACAACAAAGCTGCGCAATTTCGCTAGCCTCGCCTCGGACAATTTTCCCAAGGCAACTGACGTTACCTATGTAAATGTGCGACAGTTAACACGCACGATTATCGTGGGAAACAGCCGTCGGGTAGACGAAAAAGAAATAGTCTGTGGCACAACGAACATCATTAGCACAACTCTCAAAAGCACAAGCCTCATTTTGAACAACTTGTTATGAGGCAAACTAGTCGTTGCTTTCGTCGTAGCTTCGACCTAAAGGCAATCGTGCTACGTTCAGGCGATTATAAAGGCCTTTCTTTTCTCTGGTCTTAGCCTCCAGACCAGCAGACTATTGACTCCAATTACTGGCTAACGATCAGGAAACGATGGACAGACAGAAAACTACAGGGACGTTACCATTAATGCCCGCAATGAACGCTTTCAACCCACTCCACTTGCCCTTCCGATCTCAGTTATTTTTGACAAACGATTGTAAATGGACCCCTTGCGCGATCGATCCCTAAGGATCACCAAGTCCGTTATACAGACGCCATTTGGAAATAATACCCGGTTTTAACTCAATATGTTGGCGTTGGACGGGGAACTAAATGTAGGATAATTCAGTTTGGAAATTCCCGCCTGAGCGAAACGCCGGGCATTAGCATTTCTGAAAAGCTTGCACTGTTACCCATTTTAAATTCTCTTCGTTTTCTCATTACAGCATTTCGTACAAAATTACGCTACGCCTTCGGTAACACTACGCCCTCTCATTGTTTTAAACTGCAGCTCTAAACAAGTTTACAAGCATAAATAAACACGATCGTACGCTACACAGATAAGTTTCCATACTTTTGACTTGACTCACGACAGTGCAGTTAGTACGCAATAAATTCACCAAACATTTACTTGATATTTTAGGTGAAAATTCCGAGCTGGATACGAGAAAATAAGAACCGATCGAGGGCAACTGTGATTAGCTTTTTTTTATTAGCGGGACGGGAATGGATTTGTTTCCGTGTAAACGGCGTCCCTTCATCCACAGCACATGACCCGCTTGGTTTTGTAGGGCACGCGTACCATCTCAAGCAAAAATCGCACACAGAAAGGTGACCGCACGTTTTGCACCAGGTCTTGAGACTTCGAACAAATTACTTTGGAGATACTGCCCGGACCTTCAAAACTGGCTCCGTGAAAAACGTTGGCATGATTTCGACGGCACTTTTCAAAGTCTCCCCCATAGCGGGAAAATAAATCTAATTCTTTCTGATGTCGTGGAGTGTTTTCCTTTTCGCTGGGAAAGATCAATACTGCCGAGGCATGCCTACGCAGCCCAAGGTCGGGTTGACAGAATCAGATCGGAATAATTCTTAGGCCGAGAGGATCTCCTCTACTTATACGTTCGAGGACACCGTCCACTTCACATTTATCCCGGCAAGAACGATTGATCGACGGAACTCAGGGAGGGCGATGAATTGGTGAAGACAGCCCCCCCCCCCGTCGTGCAGTCGGCCCAGGAGGTATAATGCACATTCATGGCGGAAATGAGGAATATATACATGCTAGAATACAGGGTGTACGTGTGGACGATATTGCCGCTGCGCATGACCAATGTATAAACCACCCGAAACTGGCCAAGTTAGCTTTAGACATTCTAAAGGCTGGTACGCCTCATTAACTTCACTGCTCTAGCTTACCGATGTCATTGTTCAAATACCATTAGGAGCTAGACTGATTTTACCATTTCTGCCTGGGTAAATATATCTGTTAAGAAGGACAGCCTTAAATGCCCCGTCAAATCAGTTTTACACTGCAGCCTTATTTAATCTGCGCAATTTGTCCGTTGTCTCTTTTTACGGACAAGCGGAAACGACGATTAAACACTACATGACATACACGCCATATATTGTTTACAATGGTTTAAGTGGGCTTACTTAAGTGATTTTTTTTTAGCATTTTCCCCAATATTTATCTTTTGGGGTATCTCCCCTCAACCCCCCACCCCCATCCGCGTCTGCTGTACGCGTTAAACGGGGCCTCTTCATTTTCCTGCATTATAAAGGAGTTAAACGCCATGACAATGGCAAGGCTCCCTCTTTCTTTTCTTTTTTTTAATCTTTTTTTTTTACTTAGCAGCCGAGACTCATCACAAGCCGTTCAAATGAACTGTGTTGGACCCAACTACTACTTCTGGCGTGGCATATCATGCCGGGAACCTAGATATTCCAGATAAAAGTGCTGTGTATATACCACTCAGTGGCGGTGTTGAGACCCTGATAAGTCCAGGCACAAGACAAGTCACAAGCAAGAGGGTGAACAATGAAAAAAATGTTTCTGCTGTTCATGTGAATAACTTGTGACTTGGATTCAGACTGGAGGTCTTGTGATGGTCTTCTGACGGTCCTTTCATGGTCCTGTGATGGTAGAGGTCTCCACTTGGACACTGGTATCGGTAACATACAGCGTACCACGACATACCAGTTTCTTGAAGCGAAGGAAACAAGACAGAGAAAGAAAGGAAGAAATATAACCCATCATTGAATAGACAACCGATTTGCCAATCTTTTGCCCTGATAGGTAAACTAGATTTCAGTCATCAAGTAAGGTAATCGAAGAAAGCGCAAGAAACTCAAAAAGGTGCGAGTTCATCATGCCCGTTTCTAAGGGGAACCTCGACAGAATAAGCCACTCTACTGACCCCTTTTAACCGCACGGTTTCGCTACTGCACATTGAACGTGATGGTCTCCACGCGTCAAGCACATTCAAAACAATTTCCATGTCGCCTTTTAACTGCCATCTCACTTACGACCAGAGCAGCTACATATGCGAAATGGCGAGCGCTCGCTTCTCCCTTGTTCCTCGTGTTCTGAGCCACGCCTCGATTGCAAGTGCACAGCCGTGATTAATTCTTTTTTTTTTCCTGGCATCGTTGAAATTTCATTCGGGGCCAAACAATTACGCGCTAATTGATAGAGTGATTTATG